ATTGAATAAGTAAATTAAGATTATGTAAAAATCTCCGTCCGATTTTTAAAATGTGCTTTTTGAAATCCTTCTAATAATTACTGTAATAATACCTAAAATATTTTAAATCTAAATGTTACCATTTTCTCATCGAAACATTTTTTGACATATAATTTTTGGTAAGGATAAATTATTGCAATCTATTTTTTAATGAGTTTGAAAACTGGTCTCTTAGCAATGTTTAAAAGAGTTTTGATGCGAAATGACATACTATATTTATTTAATGGCAAGGTTGGAGGAAATATAAAATAAATATGTCATTATATATGCATGCATAAATATAATTAACTACAGGAAGTTACATCAATTTGGGGGAAGGAATTACGGAGGTTTGACTACAGATTAAGTCTCTAAGAATAGTCTTAAGGACACAATTGCAAATTTTGTGAGTATCTATTTGATTTTGTTTTGAAAAAAATACATGTTTTAGTATGTCAATGAACTGTTGTATAAATAGAATAGCGTCAATAGCGTAATTTGGTTTTGTTTATGTACTAGAAAATATTTCGAAACACTATTTTTGCTGTGAAATACTCTAAAGACGTGAAAGGCTGAGTGGTACCACGGCGTCAGAGAAACTTGGTATTAATTCCTTTATAGCTTTTCAATTATCACTGGTCACCGGATACTAGGGTATGTCTTACCGAAGCTTCTTCATTCTAATTTTACATTTCTCCTTCGTCGCGTCTGAAAAACGAACGAATGAACTACATTTTCAAGGAGGTTTATCAGTGGTCAGATATAAAAGAAATAATCCTTTGCAGTCATTCTTGCTTGTTTACTTACATCTATATCTACGAAACATTATCACATCACGTCAACAGTCTTCAATTGTCCACTGTTAGACATAGGTCTTTCATTCGAAAGGTTTAGGCCTACTATACCACGCTGGCCAGAAGAGTTGGTACAGGATTTGTGTCAAGTTTTCCTTCTCATTGCAGTGCTGTTGCCCTGCGTAGTTTGCTCCCTTAGTCAGCTCTTACGACACCCACGGGTGGTGGATGACACTCCGTATTCTTAATCCGTACGGAATACAACAATACATTTTATTACCCTCAAAAGAATTTTGCAAAAACAAAAAAAAAACAAGACCATGTTTATCATTCGCGCGCCATCTTGTTTGGTAGTCTTAAATGTCACATGACGGCGCCATTTTTATATTTGATAACTTTCTTACATAATCTTACATAAAATAAATAAACAACTTGCTTCATCTTATTTGAAGTATGTTGCTTATATTAATGTATTAATTCTTATTTCTAATCAGATGGAAGTGATGAGCCCAGATTACAACATGGCCCACTTTTTTTAACAGCGATGACAAAAACTGACCGCCTTATTATTTAACGTTAATCAAGTTAGATACGGATTATTTGGTTATTTTCTTCAGAAAGTTACAACTTTAATATTACACAGGTCAACAAAATTTTTACCCAGAAACCAAAGTATACTTTTTAGTAGGGTTTTGGTGCGCTGAATCCAATCCGCCTCAAAACCAATCAAATACTACCCACCCCGAGTTCAGCTAAGCAAGCCCTGTTCACTACTATCTACTAAAAAAAAAGGATATTTGAGCAAACTCAACGTCATTTGAAAGCTAAATACTTGAACTTCAAGATACCCTGTGTACTTACGGGTATTTAGGCATAATAAAATTTGAAGGGTTACATAACCTCAAAAATGGCCAAAAATTGCGTTTTTTGAACTTTTACATTAGAACATCTTAAAAACCTGACGTGATAGAGCAAATCTGCGGCCGAATCCCGATTCAGCGCACCAAAATCCTATGGTAAAGAATACTGGGACAGAAACTTTGACAAATAACGCTGGTATTAGGTATTAAATAGGTAGGTATTAATTCACGCTGGTATTAGGTATTAAAGATAAAAAAATGTTCTTTTTTTGTAAACCTAATCATTTAAAGGCACAGAAACATGTTGATTACTTTTTTAACTTAATAATTTATAATAAAACAATTTTTCATATTCATATTGTACAAAAAACGAAGTGAAATAAATGTAATCAAGTATTACAAAAACTCTACTGTATAAATAATAAAATTAATGGTTAATACTTATTAAGTTTATAACTTTTTATGTTGCCAATTAAAAGCCAGTGACAGTTTAAAAGAGGCATAGACAACATTAAAAGCAAAAAAGGCAATAAAAAATATTAAAAGTAATGTTCGAATTTCAAAATAAAAAAGTAACACAAGGTTTTTTTATCTATAATTCAACATATTTTTATCAGAGTAACATTTGCATTACATGTCTTGCGCAGCAGTGTTGCCATTTAACTATTAAAACCTAACTAAACATAAATACTGCACGTTCGCACATACAAATATGGTCTACAGAAGCACTTTATGTAGAAATACCCGATTGTTGCCACACAGTTTGTCGTGATTGCGTAGCGTGTTCCGACCCAAAGAGCCCGTACCAGGAAATGCAAATAGTTTTGTACAAATGCGTTGCTAGTATCGAGTAGGTATGTGTACATTAAACAACTTGTGCCTGCTTTTATTGCTTGGTGGAAATACAGACGTTGCGCAGGCACATCTATCTGTGACAAAACAAGACTTTAATTCTCTATTCGCACTGATTGACTGTAGGCTCGACCGGAGTGTTATCACGGCCTCACATAAGAACGCTGTTGAGCATTTTTTTTCTTTTCTTTTACCGAGTGAGTGAGAGTACCGGAGGAGTCCCATATCCATCATCTATCCATTTTCCTAACAACAATTTTACCTTCTCCTTTCGTCCCGTCTATAAACGAATACATCCCCGGGAAGTGATGACGTCAGACAAACGACCGGCATTACCAAAAACTAGCCAAAACTTATTGCAATCTTACACGTCACCCGGATTAAAATTAGGAACACGGGGGGTATTTGTAGCGACTTAAAAACACAGCAGATTACCCTAACAAGGGGTGGTGTTCACTAAACACAAAATAATTGTATTTATAAACATATAGACTTCTCGTCACGTTGATCGGTGTATACTCGTATAAAAGTGAACATTGACATGCGGCTCTCGTGTCTTCGTTTAGTATTCAATCATCGTTCGTGTGGTAACGTGTGAATGTTTGACTTTTGTTTTTATTGTGGAATTTTTAATAATATTACGAGTAGTATTAAATATACATATATATATGTTTATCCGTGTGGTGACGGATTAAGAATACAGAGTGTCACCACCCCTATTCATCCCGTGGGTGTCGTAAGAGGCGACTAAGGGAGAAAACCACGCAGGACAACAACACTGCAGAGAGAAGGAAAACTTGAAACAAACCCTATACCAACCCGTCTGACCAGCGTGGTATAGTAGGCCAAAACCTCCTTTCTAAGGGGAGGTCTATGTCCAGCAGTGGACTATTAAAGGCTGTTGATGATGATGATGATGATGATATATGTTTATACCCTAATAGTTACATCACAAGTAGACGTGGGAATGATTGCTACTTTGAATCATAACCAAATGATGGAATTTAATTCAATTCTTTGTTTATGAAATATAAGCATTATAGTGTATACCAAATCGCTTATATCTATGCTAATTTTAATAAAAATTAAACTACATACTATTACAATTGTAAAACTCAGACTAACAAAAAGAAATAACATTAAATTTGTAAACAAAAACAATCTTACATCGACTTAGGAACTATAAAATTACTCTTTAACATTTAGATAAATTTTAATATGTTATATTGTTATTTAGATAAATATAAAACAGTCTCACTCTCTCTCTTCTGAAGCTGTTTACAGATCGGTGGAACTCCCCCCCTGTTGGGCAACTGGACAAAGATCACACCAGCCACCATAATAATTGAGTATTACCAACATTAGTCTTTAAGTTATTTTGTTTATACTCGTACTAACCCTTTGGACATGTCTGAAATAAATTATTTGAATTACCTCCCATTGCAAAAAACCGGACCGATATGTGGTTCGAAGAAGTCGAGTCCTGTACCCGTATGTGATTCCTGTAATTACAGCAGCCACTAGGACAGTAACTTAGATTGTTACTGATTGACTTCCCGAGTGTCATAACTCGGTGTGTTCGTGGGTCACTGCTGTGGATCCTGGTGTACAGGAGTTACAATAGTGGGCGTGTGGGATTAGTGTTAATGAAAGTAGTAACAAACAAAGTCTTAAAAAACATTCTTATATTACAAAGTACGTTGCTGTCAACACAATACCTGTCATTACCGTAACGATACTGTCAAAAGCATTGGCTCACCCGCCGTAACGACAACTACTCAAAGTCTTGTCTATGGTCACGAATCATCGTTACGTAACAGACATTATTATAGTCTCACGTAGAGCGGTAGGTGCGAGGAATAACTAAACGCCTTGTGTCATAATAATGTTTACTTATTAGTACGATGTCTCGTTGTCTATGGTGCGGTGACCCTTAATGGAATGATTAGCTAATAAATTCATCATTGATTTGTCAACCCTGTAAGTGTTATAACTTTATTTCATAAAATTGTTTGAAATCGTCTTTTCCATGGACTATAAAGTCATAGTTCAACACACACAATAACAACAATCTCTGTTTTGTCAAATATTTAGCAAAATAAATGTAATATAATAATTTCGAAAATATATATGCCTGTGCCGATCTACAACCGCCCGTTTCCAAGTATTCCCACCCAGGACAAATAATATGTGAACAGCACAATCATTTTGTACTAGGCGTCCTGCCCCAGGGTGACTACGGTCACTCCGGGATGTGCCTCAGACATGAGGTACGGAAGGGAGGACCCCAGAAGTCGCCGATGCGTTCCTGGAGCTCCTCCTGGCCTACCGACTGCCGAGGTACGCCGCCGCGGGGTTTAGTGGGTAGACCGGTTCTCCGGGAGTCCCACACACGCCCTACGTTTCCCCAACATAGGGTATAGTGCGAAAAGCATTCCCCGCGTGAAAAAAGGTATGGGTGTGAATAATCTATGCTATGAGCCCGGTTGTCGGTAATAGGCTTTCTTTCGTATGTGGGATAAAATTAGAGTCGGCAAAACGTGAGCATTCGATACTGCACTTTTTACCCCTTCGGGGTAAAAGATGTGAGTGTAGATGTGTATTAAAGGTTCCATGATCGTTACAAAGACTGGATGGAGTCTAAGGAGCGGTCTCTGTCCAGCAGTGGGCTTTTAAAGGCTGTTGATTTTTTTATATAATACGTCAAAGAATACCATTATACCTAATAAAGAACTGTATTTGTCCAAGAGTCACGGTGACTGAATACTGTCAGTCGTTTCGTGTGTTTATAAACCTCACTTTTAGCAACAAAAAAAAATTTGAACAATTGTCGTGACAAAAAAAAAGTGTACTCGTAAACCATTCCTCACCTAAGTCAGCAAAACAATAAGTGAAAGCTCTCAGTACATTATTGCATGCACTTCACTATCTGCGCGTGCTCAACATAACAATATAGCCATCTCTTTTATGTACGAGACAGGTATATGACTCGTGAGAATTTATAATGATTGTCTGCAGGTTGATGTCATCTCTTTAAGTTTGGCGGTTAGTAGGGCGCGCCATTGTTGTAAAGGTCATGAACCTTATATCTTATGGGATCCATGGGAATATTCCTAACTGTTTTTTAATCTCATCCAGCTGATCTAGTGGCTAGAACGGTCAAAATGACTAATTAAAACGTTTGATGTTTAAATTTAGAAGCTTGGTTGTGAATGTGAAGTTTCGATTAGAATTTCGACTGTAATCATATTATTTGACGGATTTAAATGTCATCGGTATATGTCATGTCATTGTCATATTAGTTTCCATCATCTTCTGCGTTTATTTATTTTCAGGGTTCCGTTCTACAAAAAGACGACTTAATAATTAATTAACTTTAAGTTTAACAATTTTTTACAAGATGTTTTCTGAACATGGTTCTCGTATTGTCCCCTTTACTTATGGTTACTTGCCACCACTAAAATGACCTTATCTCTTGTTCCAGGGGTCAGACCCTCGCGTGGCGACGTGCCGCGGGCGGCTGCAGACACGCCGGTGTGCGCTCAATCAAGAAATTAACAAGGAGCTGCGGCTTCGGGCAGGAGCTGAGAATTTGTTCAAGGTAATATACGCACATACACTCACACACTCCCTCCTGTCTCCCTAAATAGAAAGGCATATATAGGTGTATTATATTATTATTATTATTCATACAAAATTGTACTAAAACCTACCATTTTGACGTTTCGTAAACGTAAGCTTTTTTGACAGTTGCTCTTGTCAGTCCAAACAGTAGAATAGCTAATATTTTCGTCAACAAAGCCTTCATCCACAGCCTTTACTAGTCCACTGCTGGACATAGGCCTCTCCTTAGAAAGGAGGTTTTGGCCTACTATACCACGCTGGCCAGACGGGTTGGTATAGGGTTTGTTTCAAGTTTTCCTTCTCTCTACAGTGCTGTTGTCCTGCGTAGTTTGCTTCCTTAGTCGCTTCTTACGACACCCACGGGATGAATAGGGGTGGTGACACTCTGTATTCTTAATCCGTCACCACACGGAGCAAAGCCTTACAATAACAGAAATGTTTGCATAAAAATGTCACTAACGTTGGATATTAACATTTATAACGCGTACAAATCACTTATTACTGTTTTTGCAGTCGCCTATTAAATACAGCAAAGAAAGCACGTTCTGATTGACACTTTCACTGCAAAGCGATACGGAATAATTTGTAACTATTTAAGTTTAAGCAGCTGTACATTAACATAATTATTTTGCAGATTAACTTATCAATTAAATTGCGCAAGTTTTTCGGCTAAGCATCGTAGCTTATATAATTACTAGCTGACCCGCGCAACTTCGTCTGCGTCTCTCAATAGTAATAAATTTTCCCCGTTTTTGAAACATTCTTCACTGGTGCTCCGCTCCTATTGGTCTTAGCGTGATGATATATAGCCTATAGCCTTCCTCGTTAAATGGACTATCTAACACTGAAAGATTTTTTCAAATCGGACCAGTAGTTCCTGAGATTAGCGCGTTCAAACAAACAAACAAACAAACAAACAAACTCTTCAGCTTTATAATATTAGTATAGATTGCGAATATGAATAAACGTTGTCCTCAGTTTATTGGCTCACACTTTGGCGTGCCGCGTCGCTCGCTGCTCTAAAGCAACAATTCCGACCTAGGAAGTTCATAATCTTACCTATAACTGGCTGTAAAAATAATATTCTTAAGTTTAATACATAAATTATTAAAATTCTCTCTAACACATTATAAGGGTAGATCATTATTTTTTCACGCCCTTCGTCTTGGTATCAGAAGCGCCTATGATCAATGCCTCGCTCTCTATGAAATGCAAAAGATTATGTATATTCATCATCAACAGCCTTTAATAGTCTACTACTGAACATAGTACTCCAGTCAATCTTATGTAAGTCGACTAATAGTAGTAACAATTACTCTTTTATTAAGATAAATCGTTATTGGGACATCAAAAAATTGTATGGAAGATATTTTATAAAAAAAATCCCATGCTATTTATACTATGATTTGACGAAAATATTATATTATTTATATAAAAAAGATCCTATTAAGGACTAAACATATGTAGATGTAAACATGATTGGAAATATGTGCCATAATATTCAAATTTTAAATCTGCTATTAAAGTAGTGGGACAAAAAAAAGTACCAAATGTACATTTTTTCTGAGTATGACCCAGACCTCTCCTTAGAACGGCCCTCTTAGGTATACATTAGTATACATTAGTTGTTCCAAAGAGCTGCGGTCAAATCTAGCGGTTTGACATACGTGACGAGTATTTTAAAATGCAGCTTATCTCTTTCAAAATAAGGTTAAAAAATCAGACATCTCCAAAAATTTGTTTGTGCTTTATGTCATTTACGGGGTCCATATATTCAGTTACTACAGAATACATTATAATTTCGATTTAACCAATAGATTTTTCCATTATAAAAAGTAGCCTATCTTCTTCTATAAGTATTTATTTCTCTGCCAAATTCCAACCACCACGAACATCATCCATACTCACAAATTTTTGCGTTTATTATATTAATGTAATTATCGAAATAACAAGCAGAACTAAAACTCAGAAAACATTGAACCTGTCCCTCAGTTGACCTCTTAGGAACAAAGACACAACAGGACGTCGACCCTCCCATTGTGAGGTGCTCATGACCGTAAACTCCTTAGGTCCGTGACACCAACCTTGAACTTTTAGTGACTTCTGACTAAAGGGGTTGAGTGAGATATATATTTTCACAACAGTAGAATTATTAATCGTAAGTAGAGACTCACAAGACAAAAGCGCGTTTTCGTCCTTTAAATGCAATTCTTCTATTGCACATGAAGAGACAAAGCATATGTGAATGCTGCACGGATGTCATATAGGTTTAAGCGGTCGCCACGCCGTTTCCACTTCGCCGAGTATTGTAGGTTCAAACCCCACATGGGACGACACTTTGTGTGATCCAAAAATTGTTGTTCTGAGTATGTGTGTTCTTTGTGTCCGTTTCATGTATGGTTGTGGAGTCACCCGCGACACAGGATATATTCCTAATACGGCAGTTGTCTTTTTAAAAAAAGAAAAGAAAGAATGCTTAGAACATGTATATGTCTATATGAGGTGTTGCAATATTTTAATTTTATTTTCCTGATGTGAGGAAAAAACAAGCGTTAATAGAAAATACACAGCTGCAAAACACCGATAGCGGCAAGGAACTTGGTAGCAAACAGGTTTACACTAATTTCTTTTTTGACAGTTTACCTAAACATACGATTATCAATGATTTGAGTATAGAGTATTATTTAGGTCAATAGATAGCGCATGTCGGTCGAACGAAGAAATCGTATTGCGGTTTTGAGATATCCAAAACTACACGCGAAACCTGCAACAAATAATAGGGATTTTGCCAATAATATTTTAACTTGTGTTACGTTGTAAGAAAAACATTGCTAAAATGTATTTAAAAAGAACTAAAATAGTAACTATTATTACGTAACTGCAAATACCAACAACTCCTAATAAATCATTAACAGCTGTCAGTTTTGACAGATGTCAGTTAGTATCAGCTTTCTAACTACGTTTTCACTTGTTTGACTCTATGGTGTTTAAATGTCACAATCTGAAGGAGACCTACACCATAATGGTTCAGAAAGGTTAGAAAGAAGAAAAAAAGAAGAGTCCATAGACAGAGATAACAGGAGATAACAGAATTTTAAATGACCTTGAAGTGATGAAGACATTTGAAAAGAAACAACTTTATTTTAAATTTTCTCTGTATTGGACGTGTATCATTTCGTGAACAAGTACGGAAAACTAGAGATGGTGTATTTAATTTGACCAATGGGCGCAAGCGGTGACCGTTGACCGTCAGATGGTAGGTGACAGGTCAGATGTAATGTCACTCATCACATGTGACTACTGTCAAGTCGTTCGTGTTTTTTTTTTTCAATTTAAAATTTTTTTTTGGGTTACTAATTGCCGAGTTATAAAATAAAAGCAGTTTTCATAGTTTGTCTATATCCCTATTGCCAACCATTCCAACCACAGTGCTTTCTATCTACGAGTATCTATAAACAGAAAATTACTTGCCGTCACTAACTGATTATTTACATTACATTACAAACTTGAAATTTTGGCAGCTAATGATTTTTATGTTGTAAGCACCCACTAACAAAGGATTTTTGGAAATTTCACCCCTAAGGAGGAAAAATAAGGGATGTACGATTGTATGGATATATCATTTTCAAAGTTAGAAACACGAAATAAGAAAATAATCAAGCGAAGGCGCGGGCTAGTTCATTATATTTTTATAACCACAGTAGTTTGTTACCTAAAGGCTATTTTATGTATAAATGTTTTTTTTTATTTCTATAGGCAACGACAAACAGAAAACTTCGGGAGACGGTGGCACTGGAGTTGAGCTTCGTGAATTCCAACCTGCAGCTGCTGAAAGAGCAACTTGCGGAACTTAACTCCTCTGTTGAATTATACCAGAGCGATAAGTAAGTAAATATTATTGTAGTTTTAATTTTTAATGGCATGGGTAACACAAAACACAACGAGAACTCGAAGACATACTTAAGTCAAACAGAAATGAGTTAAACCACATTATATTTCATCATGAAAATTTTCGTAAGTTTGACTTATTTATTTATTTATGACACTATTTTTACAGGTTTTGTACCTAATACAATAGCCATTCGTTTTTAAAAACATGTATAGTTATAAATAATACCTATTACATTCTTACTCATCCCGCCCGCATCCCGGCAGCTGGACAGACAATTGTAAAAAAATATTTCTTTACAAAGGTCACATAGTGGTCACAAGAGCCCTTAGTGGATCCGAGAGACGTCGCATAACCTGAACTTAGGCCCGCATTTTAAAAGTTGTCTCAGTCGTGAATCTAGTCTTAAAACTAATTTTAAGTAGAGATTTTATTATTGAACGTCACTTAAACGAGATTCACCACTCCATACTCAAGTGAGTGATAGCTTATTTTAGAACGATGTTTATGTCAAAATCATTACTCAGGTATAGATTTTGACAGCTGTGATCTTTGTTTACGTGAGACAAGCTGAAACTAGTCTCAAACGGTGATTTCAATTGCATTTAGAGGAAATGAATTGTTTTACGATGATTTGTTTTTGAATAATTACGAAAGATTTACTTTACTTTATTTACCAAAGAATTACTTGGCATACTATAATCAATTTCACTTTCATTTACCTTAATTGATATGAAATTCACCAAAATTCACATTTTACACACACAATACCAGTTTAAATTACCACAACCTTTTGGTTTATGTTAAAAGTATAGAAATATAAATATTAATTTTTTAATTAAATTGATAAATAACTTGAACGTTCCGTTATAGCCTATTCATACAGCTAGTCATTTTTATTTTAATATTAATTATACTTAATTTTGAACGAACAACAAACTTTTTAATATGTTAACATTGCTACACTAGCCAATAGTATATTATATCCAAATTCACAGAAATTATTTTTGTAAAAGAAAATTATATTTTAAATAATTAGCTGCGTAATGCGGAATAATAATGTCAATCATACGGAAACGTAATTGAGAACAGACTGTAAGTTCAAATCAATACTTGAAACTAGTTTCAACTGAATAAAACTTAAAACGCGTTCTATAAGATTTGATCTGCACTTAAAACTAGTTTCAGGCAATCAGAGTTCAACTGACACTTGAGACGTCTTTTAAAATACGGGCCTTAGTTAAAAATCAATAAACTAAATACTTTCTTTGCGTTGCCCATTAGTGATCTTAAAAATACAACAAATACACTACGAGTACAACGGTCCTTTTAGACAAATATTTTCGCCAGAATTGCGCAAATAAAACCCCTTTGTGTTTATTTTTTTTGAAGTTTCGATACTCTGTATCTGTGTGTGGAAATCCGTTTCAAAAATCCTTGTGGGAAAAAAACGGGCCAATAGATAACTATTGGCTCGTTTTTTTCCCACAAGGCTAAAAGTTCCCAAAAGTTACTCATTGAGAAATTCTTATTTCTGTCTGTTTAAATCTGAAAAAAAATTACAACAAAATGGCTTCCCTATAAGCAAAATATAAATGAAAACTGAATTGTAAATTCTTAGGGCACATTGAACAGAGGGAACATGGTGGTTCCCACACAGGGAGGGTCGTCTACCCGCCGTAGATGGCCCGAGGTACCTCGGGGCACCAGGGATTTCCTTTCTAGGGTACACCTTGGTTCCCCGACTACTGGTACCTGAGACGGCGTGCGGATTAGTCGGAGACCGACATTGCCACCGGCAAGTGGCATCCGAGGGGATTGCCGAACAGAAAAAAAAAAGGGCACACTGAAAATATAAACACCGTCAATAGATTAAATAAATACGGAACCATCTCCAACTTAACCCACTTTAATTATTTTTTAAAAGCCTTGAAGGATTGCTTTTTACAGTTTCCGTTCCCAAACTATAAATGGATATTTCTTTACATAAGTTATACAATCGAATTTTATAATTGAACTAGTTAAAATTGATCTCAAACTTCATTAAAATATTGACTGTGTAATTTAGATTAATTGGCTAAATCACCTTGAAAAGATTTCTACAGCCTTATTAGTAAATGCCATTTTTAATATACATATACCTCTCATCAAACAACAATTTCCTTTATAATTTGGTCACATTTCCATGTGATATTGCTATAAAGTTACACCGTCATTGGTTTTAATGTGGGGCTCGTGGTTAAATGGTAGCCGAATAGCCACTTTGCAAAGTAACGAGCCGACTAATGGAGCAAAATACGCAGGACAACAATACTGCAAAGAGAAGGAAAACTTGGTACAAACCCTATACCAATCCGTCTGGCCAGCGTGGTATAGTAGGCCAAAACCTCCTTTCTAAGAAGAGGCCAGTAGTGGACTGTTAAAGGCTGTTGATGATGATGATGATGAAAGTTAAGCAATTGTGGCCAGGTCAGTCAATGGATCCCTCCCCTCAGTGCCTCGGAGAGCACCGGTTGCTATACGAACATTTGTGGCAATCGTTACGGGTTGGTGGAGCCCTAAATATTCCGACAACAGTCTACAGAACTTCGATATCACCTAGGGTCTAGTACTTAGGTTGTTGACTTGGGTCTGATGAGAGTCGCTCCAGGTAAAAAAAATTGAAAAGGCTCAGAGGCTGACGTCAGTGGTTTAAATTTGGTAAGATATAACCATTTATAGAGGTATAAAAGTAAAACTTAAAAGTATTATATAGACGTATTGGAAACTGCCACACACTTATATCGAGAGAACTTTATTTGCGCGATGCAGAATCAGTTCAGTTAGTATTTAGTTCGACAGGTCTTCGCTAGATGACGTTAGATGCGTATGCTCTATGAGACAGCCGGTAGTGACACCGCAGGTATGCCCGCGGATATTTCTTATCACTACACTGTTAAAATGGTTTTGTCTTGAATTATCAACCCTGGATGTAGAAGAGAAGGGTATTGTAAGTTTGGAGTATGTGGCTTCAAAGCTCATAAACGGATTGATCGATTATGATTTTGTATTGTATGTTTGATAGATGACTTATTTGTTCCATTCAGACTTTCGAACATTATTGCCCCTTTTGTAATCGGTGAAACGATTTTAGCCAAGTAGTCAACGATTGGTGAACAATTCAATGCCTATCGCAACGGTGAACGCGGTCACCGTAATAATCGAGTTAATGTGAAACAAACGCATACTAGGCCCTCTTTATTACACACATATAAGTAAAACAGTATTCCTTTAATACACGTCTCTGAATAATTTATTGATACGGTCCAATAATCGTCCATATCTTGTAAATATTCCATCAATACATTGACTTCACTTTCTGCAAGGTGCGTCGACCACAGCCGACCCTGTTGCGCTAACTTTCACAGTTATTTGTAGTAGTAATGACGACCGGATGGCGTAGTGGTTTGTGTAACGGACTGCTATTCCAAAGGGGTTCGATTCCCGCTCAAGTCAAACATTTATGTGCATGAACATTTAATGTTTGATTTGGTCTGGGTGTTTCTATATATAATTTGTATGTTATTACAAAAAAAAGAAGTATATATGTATTTATATCAGTTGTCTAGTAGCCATAGTACAACAATTGTTATAATACGAGTATGTGTATCAAAATATTTAATAGATTGCCACCAACCATAAAGACGTTGCCCCTACTGAAATTTAAAAGGAAATTGAAAATATGGCTTTTGGAAAACTGATATACTCAGTAACCGAATATCTAAACGAGCGATAATTACAAAAACATCTGATAATATTTTATTGTATGTTGTGTTATATATATATATTATATTATCGGAATGAATAATTTGACATTGCAATTATATATTTGACATTATGTAAATTGTTTATTGACATGAGCTTAGTAGTTTGTTATTAAATCAATCTGTTGTTATAATAAGCATTTAAGTTTAAAAATTTTGCATGTCAGAACAGACTGACGAAATATGTGATTCTCTTCTAAAAACTATAAACAGCCCATGTACCATATTTCTGCAATTAAAGTATAATTTCATTTCAAGTTCTGCTTAGTTTGGGGATAGATGGCGTTGTGTGAAAGTGGTAGAACAAAAATAAAACAAATAATAGTTATGTTACGCTCTTGGTGCAATGGACGCCTTACCGCTGAAATGGTTAACAATCATAACATACCTGACAAATTACGATTGACCCCTCGTTGGTAGTTTTATTAATAAAACCTGTTTTAACAGGCTTCACAAAAAGAGTAGGTTTTTTTTCTCTTTTTTTTCTTAAAAAAGTCAACTCCCGCATTAGGAATATATTCCTGTATCGCGGGGGACTTTACAAACATACGTGAAACGGACACAAAGAACACCCAGACTCAGAACAACAATTTGTGGATCACACAAAGTGTCGTCCCATGTGGGGTTTAAACCCACAACACTCGACGTAGTAGGCGGCGTGGCAACCGCTTTAACCGCTATCACTGTCACTGCACCATCCGTGCAGCCAAGTCAGTAAAGGTTATCAATTTGGTTCAATTTTCGAGGACGTAATGGTTTAAGCGGTTACCTCGCACTTCCTACTGAGTAATGTGGGTTAGATCCCCACATGGGACAACATTTTGTGTGGTTCACAAATTGTTGTTCTGAGTCTGGGTGTTCTTTGTGTGTGTTTCATGTATGTTTGTAAAGTCCCCCGCGACACAGGATATATTCCTAGTGCGGGAGTTGTCTGTAAAGAAAAAAGAACTGAGGATGGAAAATTTAGGAGTGAAGTTTAGTACAATTCATTATGCTATAAACGCATAGACTCGTATAGTCTGTATGGTGACGGATTAATTACTATTGATCCCGTGGGTGTCATAAGAGCCGACTAAGGAAGCAAACTATGCAGGGCAACAGCACTGCAAAGAGAAGGAAAACTTAACACAAACCCTATACCAACCCATCTGGCAAGCGTAATATAGTAGGCCAAAACCTCCCTTCTAAGGAG